TGAAAGATCACAAAAGGACAAATACTGTATGATTCCACTTATGTGATGCATCTAAAGTCGTCAAATTCATAAACAGAAATTAGAATGGTGAATAGTGATTGCTAGGAGTTGGAGGGAGAAGGGAATGGGTTTAATAGGTTTAATGGATTTGATGGGCACAGAGTCTCAGTTGCAGAAGATGAAAACAATTCTGGACATGGATGATGGTGGTGGTTGCGCAACAATGTGAATGTACTTAATGTTACTGAACAGTACGCTGAAATATGGTGAAAATGGTAAACTTTATGTTAAATATATTTTGCCACAGTAAAGAAAAATCATAAAAGAGGGCTTGTCTTTTCGTAACAACAAAAAAAAAACACCCTGTGTCATAAGAAACTGACCTAGAACAGGTCAAGACATAGTTCATTAAAAACAATGAAAATTAAAGACACAGAGACAAGCAAAAGTATCACGACACTTAGGGAAAAAAATGAAGCTGGTTTCCAATTTCTCCGCAGAATTTTCAATACCAGAAGTCAGTGTAGCAATTACCTAAAAGATGCTTAAGGAGAGAAAGCATGAACCACGGATTTTATGTTCAGACAAACCGTACTCAAGTATAAAATTTACAGATAATTGTTTTAAATGTGCAAGAAATGGGATTTTACTCCCAAGAGGACTTTTTAAGAAAACCACTAGAGGAAGAGACTTCAGCTAATTAAGGAAAGATTGTTGAAAACATGACAAGAAAACTAGAAGCATTGAATATATTTAACTGCAAAATGAATGCAAAGATTAGGGTAAGTCAGAGCAGGCAATGGTATGTTCCCTGATGATAAAGAAACGATAAAAGAAAAAATTAGGAAAGAGAAGGTAGAAAAAGACCGGAAGAATTTCCTTATTGTCTCTTTTGAAATATCTGGAAGCCAAAGAATATCATTTACAGATGACAAAATATAAATATGTGAAATATAATATTTGTAATTTACCCATTACCACAATCATGCAAAAAAATCAGTGGTTAAGACAATAATCTTTAATACTCAAGATATGTGTGGTTTGGCTGGGGAAGCTCTGTTTCAAAAAGCAAGTGTGTGGCTCCAGGTGTTCTCTACATGGTATCGTCCTTTCAGGGACAATGAACTGTCTAGCAAAGTGTGATCTTATGGTTATGGCAGCTACTTAAGAAACACGCAAGGCCTCTTGAGTCTTAGAGTTGAAAAAAGGCCTCCTGTGGTGGGTGAAGGGGGTCTAAAAGTACAAACTTTGGGGTGTAAAATAAATAAGTCATGGGGATATAATATAGAGCATAGTAACTATAGTTAATAATACTATTGTTACTTGGAAATTGCTAAGAGAGTAAATTTTAAAAGTTCTCATCATAAGAAAAAAAAATTTAATTTTGTGACTATGTATGGTGATGCATGTTATGTTGTACCCCTGAAACTAATATACTATTATGTTAATTTACCTCAATTAAAAACAAATTTTTTAAACAAAAAAGCTCTCACTTTTCTGAGCTCATCTTTTTCTTGTAGTATCTTATCATGTGCAGCTAAAAGCAACAAAAATGTGCTCTGACCTTCTTCCTAGAACCATTGCCTAACCTTCCATTCTGCTTGGATCACAAGATCATTGGGTACATTTAAATTGTTTCAATTTTCAGCAACAGTTTTATTAACTATTTTTACACTGTCTAACAGTATATTAGGTTGAGTAATGCCCAAATAATGCCTCCTCGGAGCTGTCCATCCACATCCTAATCCCTGGACCTGTGAATATTGTACCTTATATAGCAAAAAGTCTTTGTAGATGTAATTAAATTAGAAATCTTGAGGTGGGGAAAATTATCCCGGGTCATCAAGATGTGCCCAATACTAGTAATCGCAATGTCTTTATAAAATAGAGGCAGGATCAAGGTCAGAGAAGGTGATGTTTTGACTGAAGCAGAGAGAGATCTGAAGATATTACTTTTCTGGCTTTGAAAATGGAGAAAGGAGCCATGGACTCAGGAATACAGGCCAACTCTAGAAGCTGCAAAAGGTAAAGGAACAGATACTCCCACAGAGCTACCCTTAGAAATCAGCCCTATTAAAATAAAATCTTGACTTCAGACCACAAAGACTGATTTAGGACTTCTAACCTCCATAACTATAAGATAATAAGTTTGGATTGTTTTAGGTCACCAAGTTTGTGCTAATTTGTTGTAGCAAAAATAGAAACAATATACATGGGTTATCAATTTTCCAAATTTGTATAAGAACTTATTTTCTCACCAACTTTCCAACCTCTGACTATAAATATGAAACAAAAATTCATTGGAGAATGGAAAAAAATGAACTGGCTGTACAGCAAGTTCTACTGATTGTCTCATCTAAAATACCTAAACACTAAATATATCACTTCAATTTGGCAAGTCAAGTAATATAAGTTTATGCACATTCAACAGTACAAAGGAAAAGAGTAAAAATGATAAACATTGGAAGAGAGAGGAGAGGGAAAAGAAGAAAATGTACCAATTTTATTATTATCAAGAACTAATAGACACTATCTAAATTAATCAAAAATAAAGGTATTAAGATTATAACAATAGGAAAAAATATTCTTAAACATTAAATGCATGCATGCACCTGCACCTACAGACACACCACATATGCATACACCAAAATCAAAGAGGCCATATAGTGAAAGTGTACAAAAAACATTGGTAAAAAAACCCAGAAAACATAACAAGATAATATGAAAATAAAAGGATAGGAAAAAGAACACCATGCAAATGCAAATCAAAAGAAATAGAGTCATAATTTTATTATCAACTAAGATGGAACTCCTGGTGAAAACATGAAGTAGTACAAAAGGAGGATCTTTACAATTATTTAAGGTACATTCACAATGAAGATGTAATAGTTATGAATACCCATGTACTAAAAAGCATCACACCGTTATTCAGAAAACAGAAATTATAGAATATTCGAGGAGTCATACATTAAACACACAAGCAGGGACACAGTTGTTCCTGTGATTTTTAGCTCAATCCAACAAATATTTATTTAGTTCCCACTAAACACTGGGAATCATAGCAGTTAAAGAAATAGACAAAGACTCCTTCCGTGTAGTGTGCATTCTTGTGTGGAGAGATAAATAATACGTAAAAAAAAAAAAAGTAGAATATATAATATGGTAAAGGGCGATTGGTTCTGTGGAGAAATTAAAATAGGTAAATGAGATCCAGAGTCCTGAAGGTATGGGTCTTGATTTAAGTAGAGTGTGCAAGGGAGACCTCAATGTGGTAGCGATTTTGAGCAGTGTTTTGAAGGAGGTTACCTGGATGAAGATGTGATGAGAGAAGAGCTAATAGAAAGTAAATAAAAGAGGAAAGGAGTAAAAAATGTACTTTTTTACTCTATACCTTTTATAAAAGAACCATGTGGTTATAGTATCTTTTCAAAAAAATTAAAAATTAAGCTATACTATGTAGAGAAAGGTGACTTGGAGAAACAAGCTGAACCATGAGACAGAATATCTGAGTTTGAGTTCAGGTTTGGTTACTAACTTGCTTGTGAATGTGAATGAGCCACTTAATCCCCTCATTTTCGTTTCCAAGTCTGTAAAAATGGCGAGATTAGATTAGGTGATCTTTAAGTCCTTTCTTTAATATTCTGTGAATCTGTGATACAGTGTTCACTAAACTGTGGCCTAGGAGGATAGTTTTGGAGTCTAGGTATTATTCAACCTTTTTATCAGCCCTTCTATCCTCTGCTTCTCTGCAACACACAAATGATAAATGGCTGTTTTTCTAATTCTAAAATTACATAATTCAAATCATGTAAAGAATAAATATTAGAAAACTCAGAAAACAGCACTTTTTCAAGGGATTCAAAACTATATAACAGGAAAATTCCCTAAAAAGGTAATTTCAAACTAGCCTTTTAGGCTTCATTATCATAATAAAATTACAAATATATTTTAATATATTTAATGTAAATCTATAAAAATTACCTTTTTATTCTCTTGTAGATTGTGATATGGCCTTTGGATGAGCCTCAGAAAATGTTCTGTTCATCATAAGATTAAGCTCAACTAAAACAGTGAGTGAAATATTCCTTTCTCTATATCATTTGATAATTTGTGATATAATATGATTTATGTTAGTCTTATAGTTATAACCCTAAGTTCTGACTCCTGGTTCTGTATTTTGTGGAATTAACTCTTTAGAATAAGATCTTACTTACTTCCCTGGTAACTTCTACAATACATACTACAGAGATCTGTACAAATGTATATTCAAGAATGGTTCTATCTTGACTTACCCATGATATTAGGAAAGATATGAGTTAGACAATCAGGTGCAGCCTTCTTAGAGGATGATGGCTTCTAAATTCTCCTGCCTTGATGTAAGTGAGCAAATAAGAAAAATAGGCAAAGTATACCAAGTCTCTCCTGCCCACTAGATCAACCAAGAGAACAAATGTCCCAAGTATGAGATCCTATCACTTATTCAATAAAAATATTTGCACAGTCACAGAATAAAATAGTGGTGTTTTTGCTCTTCAATCCTATCTAAAAGGAATTTGACACCCACATATTTCCTTCAATAGCAAGTGAAGGATGATGACCTTTATACATAGCCTTTGTCTCAAAATGGGGATTGAATGAAATTCCTTGAGAGCAAGACTGCAACATGCGGTACAATCTCTGGAAACATGGAATGTGGCTGGTGCGCCATTTTGGTGAAGTGTCTTACTACATTTCTTTTTTCACTAATCTAAATGTACTCTGCGCTTTCCATGGAGACTTTCTTGAAACGGTGGCTTTCTTGTCTAGGAAATGATAAAGCTATTTCAACACTTGCATTGCAGTGTTTAAATAAACGGTCTTTAAATAAATGGTCCCACATATTCCCACTCCTATATAATGACAAGTTTATACACTATCTTTATTCTCCATGCATGAAAGTATATGTTTGTGATTATTTTCATCAGTATCTCTTATAAAATTGTATAACTCCCTAAAGTCAGAAGAGTAGAATTAAACATTTTTTTAGCCAGAAAGGAATCATGTTAATAAAAACAAGTTTCAGTCAGGGAAATAAAATACAGTCTCACTTCTTTGCAGCTGCTTTAGCACGTGAGCCAACAGAAGTTGTGTGCCTCTACTCTGAGGAATTCTGTCCTAATGATCTGCAATTATCATGAATATCACCTGCTTTGAATTTCTTACTCTTGGTTCCTTGACTAATTTTCCATTATAGAATTTATTTGTGTTTGCATGTAGCAGGTCAATGATATGTAAAATGTATCTAAATATTCTCTTTATGTTTGTCTTCTCTATACCTCTTTTTATTGTGTTAAATTACCATATTATTCCTGTATAAGGACCTATTATAACTATAGCATATCCAAACTAGAATAATATCGTATGATGTTGTTACTAACAATTCCAAAAAAGTATAGTACTGCAGTAATGATTTGGCAAATTATTCGGTCCTCTCAAATATTAAGATTTTCACTAAAACTAAAACTTCAATTTGTTCAATTATATTTCTTTTTCTTGCTCCCTTCAGAAGATATCAGAAAATTGAACTAGACACTATCTTTATTTGGATAAGTAGCTTTGTACACAAAAAAATGCTCTAAAATTATAAATTGGGTTGTTCTTGGGAAATTGAAATCCCACCAATTAAAAATCATTGTTCTCATTTCTAAGAAATAGCTGAAATTAAAATGTTATTTTACAGTGCTATTAAAACTGGACAGGAATTGATATAAGAAACAAAATCAGTCATTTTTCCAAAGTAGACCACAAGCAAACACTAGAAGCTAAACACCGAACTAAAAAAATATTAAATATTTTGTTAAATCCATAAATAAATAGTAACAGTCCAAATTGGCAACAAACTGAAAAACATATTGTTCTGGATATATTTTTAATGCTTCCTTGTTTTCTACCTCAATAGAAAATGATCCTGGTTTTACTGTTCGAACAAAACATATGTGAGAAATCTTTAGGATGTATATTTCTAGGGATTTTTGGATTTAAACTTAGGTACTCTAGTTCTTCCAAAGGTAATAGATAGCCTTTGAGATATTAGTACATTAATATTGTTGTCACTTAAAACTGCTCAGTACTTCCTGGAATCTTGAATCCAGAAATTGATGAGCTGCCTTAGGGAAATCGTAGCTGATCACTAACCAACTGTTTTCACTTCACAGGACACATGAATTAGCAAAAGCCTTCCAGGGATTCCATATTGTCTGAAAGAGACCACAGCTTGTCTGGAACATCTTCATGCCAATCATTGAGTTCATCTAAAACCCCTAAGACAGAAGGGAAAAAGTTTTTGAATCTTCTTTGCCGCTGAAGTTGCAGAGGTGGTCTGTTGTAGACTTGAAGTCCCCTAAAAAGCCAGATTGGCATGGTTTCTGAGATCTACATAAACTTCCAGGTCTACTAATTCCCAATTTAACTGCTAAATACAAGACCCTCAATTATGTGAAGTGAAAATATGTAGAAGAAAAAACTACATATTCTGCCCTGAAGGACCTAACAGGCTAAGAGCAAAGGTAATGAATCTAAAGAAACATCTGGCTAAATGGTGAAAACTTAATTCACCCAATTTGGAGCCATACTCATTCTACTTGGACCAAACCTGTGCCTTCTCACTCATCTCTTAGTATAGTAATGGTGCCTCCCAAGACACATACGTAGCACCTTCCTAATTTCTTCTCTGTACCATTCTATTCCTATTACCCATGTTTTAGGTATTAAAAAAAAAGAAAGAAAGAAAGAAAAAGAAAACCTAATATTATTTCCCCCCTTAAATAACTATCTGACTTGTTCCCCTCATCCCATAACTTGTTCAAAATGACAATTCTAATATGCACATCTGATCACATTCCTTATTGGTAACCTACAAGCTGAGCTATAAACTTGTATAGAAGCTAAGGATTTTACCATCTCACTCCTCACTGCCTCTCCCATCTTACTTCTTACCATTTCCCTCTGTGCAACTTAAGTTTCAGGCATTCTGAATTATTTAGTTGTCCTCGAATATGTGATTAAACACATGCCTTTGCATGTGTTCATCTGTCTAGCATGCCCTTTTGCATGCACCTAGCTGTATACCCTCTATGGTTCCCTATGAACTCTTTTTTATTCTTCATTCTCAATCCAAGCATTTTTTCTTTTGTTATATATTTCATAATGTCCTAGATAATAATATAGTCATTTATTCATATAATAGCATCTGTTGTTCTATACTTCCAGGTCCTTTTCAACATGATGTTATATTTGTTCTCATGTCTGTCTCACCATCAGACTGTAAACATCTTGAGGGTAGAGACAATATGGTTTTTTTCCATCTTTTATTCCATATCTTACTGCAATACTGGACACATAAAAAATTCTCAATAAATATTGGGTAAAAAATACAATTATAAAAAGTAATAACCCCAAATAGCATTTAGAAAATGCTATAACTATAATTGAGTTGAGTTGGGAAATCAGGAAAGGCTTTATGGTATAAGTTATACTTGAGTCAAACATAAAAGAATGCATAGAATTTACAAACATGGAAATGAAAGGAAGAAAATGCTTAGCTTGGGAAATTGCTTGATCAATAATAGGAAGATGAGAACATATTTCCTGTATACGAGGAACTGGCCTGAATAGAGAATGAGTGTAAAATAAAGAACTATAATAAATAAGGTAGAAAAGTCAGTTTGTGGAAAACATTGTTAGAAATTGTGAATATCTGGCTAAAGAGTATAAATTTATGTTTTTTATTTAGAAAATAAATTATGGATCCATGAAAGGATTTTGCATTTACACATACACAAGCACACATAGTCTGTCAGAAAAGGAAATTATAATAAATTGAGTAGGAAATTTAGCTTAGGGTGAAAGTATGAAAGTTCAGATACAATATTTTTCTCTAGAAAATATAGATTTATTAAAGGATAAATAGATAATCCTGCTACAAGTGATCTACAGATACAGATACAGCTATAGGTATATAGTTAGATAGATACAGATGATATAGAGATAGATACAGATACAGACATTGACATAGATAGTCTGGCAAATTTAAGGCCAAAGAATGAAATAGTAGGGTATTGACATAATGTAAAAGAAAGATTTTGACAACTTGAAACTGGATAATTATAATTCAGGATATATAACATTCCAGGAGAGATAATTTACATAATTTGATATCTGGTTAATGGAAATGGAAATAGGAGAAAGAGAAAAGACAGGGCAGAGAGAGAGAGGAATCAAAGAACCCATTGATTTGGCATCTTTTATCTATTACCTTGTACTATTAATTTGCTTTCTTTGCATAAGCCAGACAAGTTTACTGTAGGTAGGGCCCTTCATTGTATATTTTGAAATCCTACCCCTCAACAGAAGGTGTGGAGGTAATCAACAAAATTGAATTGACCTGACCACAGCTGGATAGTTAATGTGACTTACTCTCCACAGCTGCTGCCATCTATGGCATTTGACTGTTTTCTTTGAAATTTGGATCCCCTGGGCAAGGGCATGGCTATGTTGACTTACCTGTCTGTGGTTTATCTTATGAATACTGATCACCAATCAAATCCATACACTGTGCCTTTCAAAGACCTGAGACTATATAGCACTTAGCTTCAATATTCTTATATAGTTCAATGGCCTCTGCTGTTTAATTTCACTGCACATGGGGAAAAAATGTGCCAGCTTGAGGAAGCACTGTCTTATCGTAACAGTAAGTACAGTGTTTTATGTTAAACTTAGTGAAATGTACCATGTTTACTAACAAATTATTCTTAGCAAAAATAGCAACAATTGTGCATCTACCTAAAGCTCCAAAAAATACTGTATTTATCTTTCGATAGTAAAATGTAAATTTAGAAAAAACAAGGGAATTAAAACACTGAATCCTTTATGTACTCTTTATTTTGTTTTCTCTTTGCGAAAAGCAAGCTGTGCTGTGTAAAGGATCACCTCGAGAAAAAAGTAATGCCAAAAATATGTGTGGCTACCACTTTAAAAAATCCTATTATCTACCTCTATTTGCAAGTTTGTTCCCTTTTCTTTCCAAATTATTTTTATTATAATTTAGACATATAGAGAAATTACCTCCTAAGATATACCAATCTTGAATACTGCCTGTTATGTCTAGAGTAGCTATTTCAAAGCTTTCTAAAAATCCTTGTAATTTTTAGGAAAATACGGGGACTGTCTTTTAAATCAAAGATTTTGGCTTTTCTTTAGAAAGCATTTGGCCAATAATGATTGAGTCTGAACTTTTTAAATATCAAAGTTTTTAGAAAACTGTTTTTCAGAGATGTGAGTCGTTGAAAAGAAACTTGTGAATTACTACTGTTCTTTTTTTGCGTCTATACATGACAGAATATACTGTTCCTATGGTTAATTTAGTCAAAGAAACCGTTTGATCTGAATGTTTGACCAACTGACCAGTGGTTTAACTGAGTTCACAGCCATCGTGCTGCCCTGGTCATGCGTGTCCACCCGGGCTTTGTTTGCGTGCTGGCAGTCTTTGCACAGAGAACTCACAGCATATGCCAGGTGGCCATGTGTCTGAGGCAGAGGGAAGGGAGAACAAAGCAGGAAAAGCTTCCATTTGGACAGAGATGCTTTAAGCCATCCAACTGCCAGTAACATATTAAAGAGAAGAAAATGCAGCGATGCCTGAATACACTCAACAGTAAACAACTTAAGTCCGAGATTCAGATCACAGATCTTCCTGTGCTGCTGCTGACAAGTTCAGCTTGAGCATGGCTGCAGGAGACAAAGAAACCTGCTCCAGGAGGAAAATAGGAGAGGAGACCCTCACAGATTTTAATCTATCTCAGATGCATGTTTTAGGAACCTATTATATAACAACCGCTCTGTTCTTATGTCACAAACCTGTTCTGTTGAAGGTGGGGATGGGGGAAGAGGGTACTAGAATGGCAAAAACAAGAATGCCCTGTCCATCTTTTTCCTCTTTATATCTACCCTCCACTTGGTATTTACCATACTGCTCACCATCATCTTCCCTGTAAACTGCAGAATAGAGTGAGCAGATGCAAATGCCACCTCAAAAGTGCTGGGGGCTACGAAACATTATTTTAGAAAGGAGGTATGCTGGTGTGGGTTCCTTAAAAGTGGAATGTATAATTTCTCATATTAAGACAGTATTGCCCTCATTCCCTACATCATGCTTTAGGATAAATGAAATGTTTTCTCTGCATCACTTTCCCGTCACTCATTTACTGAGCAGCTGCTATGGGCCAGCTAGTGTGCTGAGGAAGACTCACTTTCAGTTCAGGATTTACAATCTTACTAACAGTGCTACTGAGCCCCATTGTGCTCATCTTACAGCTAAAAACACACACTGTCAAAAGAGTCAGTTAACTTGCCCAGGCTCACTCAGCTAAGTAGTATGAGAGAGATTTATACCCAAGGTTATCTGACTCCAAAACTTGTGCTAATCAAGTTCATTCATACATAAGTTGGTGTGCAATGATCTCCAGGTGCCCTGTAACTTCTACAAGCGGTGTGATTTAATCAACACTAAATGAGTACTCTGATGGAGTATTATTCTCATTATTTAAGATATTAGAACACTAAAGCTCTTAGCAACCAAGTGGCCCAAGGCTAGACCAAAATTCAAACATGGGTCAACTTCAATATATATCTCAATGCACGTCTGAAAGCTCTACTGACCTGAACTCAAGATAGTGTGAAGAGCTAGTTCCACTCTTCTTGACGATACTATGTCATCTTGAAATTAACAAAAGAAGATACAAAATTGCTGGGCTTTATCATCATAAGACTGTATTTTGAATAGTTTGTTCTGTCTATTACATCTGAAAAAGTCCTTGCATTTGATCTTTCACAATCTAGTTCTATGTATGTTTTTTGGACACTTTCATTCTAAGGGCAGAGCTACTTGCTCCCTTGCCAGTGATCCAACAAGCACTGTATTCACACCTGTATTAGAGCATTTTGCCATGTTGCACTCAACTGTTATTTGTCTCTGTGTATGGCTCCTCCAGGCAACCTGTGATCTTCCAGAAGACACATTTTTTATCTTGTTGACCTTTGAGTTTCCAGTACCCAGGACAGTGTCCTATCGTAGAAGATATTAGAGTATGTAATTAAACAATGTGAGACTGAGACACCATCAGAAAAATATAGGTATGTAAGTGTTTGTATGTCAAAAAGCCAGTGTAGAAAAAAGAAGAAAAAATGTCATTTATATTGAAGGGACAACGTTATATTACCTCTTATCTGGCTTTTAAGGGGATTTTGCTGAGCTAAAAATCCTATATTCGTAGAAAAGCTTTACCTGAGTTGCCAGTACTATCTAAGATTATTAAAAGAAGGATTTTAAAGATCTAATTTACTTTTTGTCATACACTGCTTGCTATTTGCATTCCACTCTGGCTGAACATTGAAATGAGACAAGCCTTTATCACCTTTGTGTCTGGTCACGTCTGCTTCCTAGTCTCCCTTGCTAGCACAGTGCTGCAGTATCAGGCTGTAAACACAGCAGCAAAATGGTTCAGGAAAAGAAAAAAGAAAGCTGCTTGGGTTCATAACTGGATGAAAATATATTTAATGAAAATATTTCTATCAGAAGCAGGCTTTTGATAAATTCTTTTCTTCATAATTAAATTTTCTAAAATGCAGACATTTGGCCTTAAGTATCATATTGGCACCAGATCAGTACAACTTGCTTGCCAAGCTTAAAAGGGAAAATATAATGGGGAAATACTGTAATTTTATAGTTCTTGTAAAAATGAGGAAATCACAACCCTCACAAAAACCCCAAGTGGTATGTCCCTGAATCCACCCACAGAGCGACCAAGATATATGATTTTAGTTTTGAGGATGACCCTAGAAACCTACTCGGGGTTTAATTTAGTTTACCCGAACATAGCTATAGATCCATCTCAGCAAACAGATGTGCAGAACATGAACTTTATGTTCATTGCTCAGGAAATGGAGCTGAGAGTTTAAACTAATTTCCATTTTTATTATATAGTATGATTTTGCTTCTTTGTTCTCTCATAATCAACTTTAGTCCCCACTGAAAACACCCTAATGATAGCTTTTAACAGGGTTAGATTGTGTGAGATGAATGGAGACTTGTATATGACGGCCTTATCCACATATGCACCTGACGTACTTTCTCTCAGTGGAACAACAAATTGGATTTTTCAAAAGCAAGAAAGAGGTACAAGCTCCTTCTAATAAGACAAATATGATACGGCTTCTATACAGCAGAATCTTTTGAACCAAATTAAAAGTGCATCTTTGAGATGTTAAGCACAGGGAACTCAGCATCTACAACCTCACTAAAGAATAAATTGCACTAAGCTCCCTAGTGATGGTTAAGAAGACTGTGTTTGAGCATGTGTGCCAGCTCTTCTTTCTCTGTCCACAGAAACCATTTCCCTCCTCTCTCTGGTTTCTCTGTGCTTGTGATGATTAATTTTATGCATCAACTTGACTGGGCTAAGGGATGCCCAGATAGCTGTTAAAACATTATTTCTGGGTGTGTTTATGAGACTGTTTCTGAAAGAGATTAGCATTTGAATCAGTAGACTGAGTAAAGCAGATGGGTGGCCCTCTCCGACACAAGTGGGCATCAACCGATCTATTGAAGGCCCAGATAGAACAAAAATATCGAAGGAAGGGCAAATTTGCTCTCTCTGCTTGAGCTGAGACATCTATCTCCCCTGCCCTTGGACATCTGTGCTCCTTATTCTCAGGTTCTTGGACTCAGACTGGGAGTTAAACTATCAAACTTCTCGCTCCATTTCAATCTCAGGCCTTTGGACTCAGACTGAATTATAATACCAGCTTTCATATATACATATATATCTCCTATTGGTTCTGTTTGGAGTACCCTGACTAATACAGTGTTCATACAGATTATTGCATATACTAGGTTCTCCTGCAGGCTGACCTTCAGTTAGTTTTAGCCAATAAGAGCATAACCAGAAGAGGATGGGAAGAAATAAAAATCTACATTTACTCTCCCTTTTCCTCCCTGCTTTGGTGCCGCAAGTATGGCAGTGGCTATATTCCTCTATAACTAACGTTGTCATCACAGAGCCCTTCCTCCATAGTCCTCACTCCAGTGGCCCACCATAACTCTGTGTCCTTCCAGTGTCCATTTGCTCTCTTACCCCTGCTCACAACTTAATATGTTATCCTTTTATTAAAAACTTTTCATGTGAACTATCTGAGATGAATCTAGGCCCTGCTAGGATCCTAAATGATAAAGAGTGCAACATTTTGTTGTTGTTTTTTTTCTTTTAAGTAATTTGAATAAAATAAAACACTGGATAGCCATGGGCTGATCAACTGAATTCCAGTAAGAAGGCCATTGTGAGCAAGATTGCATAAGTGCCTTTGCCTGTGACATCCATGGCAAAGTCGGATAGAATATGAAGTGACTAAAGTCTGTATCTTCTAAGGAAATTAAAAGAGCTTTCAGAAACCATCTAGATTCTTTAAGGAATCTACTAGATTAAGAGGAAAAATATTCATATCAATGGATGCATAAGGTGCTAACTCATTCTCCTAGCTGAGACACAGCATCAAGCAAATAGGAAGCAAATAGGGAAGACCTAACAGAACCAAATTTACATTTCACTAAAAGTGACAAGGACAGGCTGGATTCTAGGACATCTTAGTGAAAGAGAAAGTTTTCTAGAACATCTTAGTGCTCAGAAAATAAGAAAGTACTCAAAAATAATCTGAACGTATTAAGAGGACAGAGGACTTAAAGGGACTCTCACTAGCCAAATTTGGCCCTTTTGAGCTCAAAATACATAATGATAATCAGCTCATTAAATAAAATAAAAATCCCTGGGTTCATACTGAGAGAGGGAGAGAAGTTGGGAGACAGAGAGACAGAGAG